GCGCCGGTTCCGCTTCCCCTCTTGGCCGGGCTGTCCCGCAGCAGCGGTGGCCGCCGGCCCCAAAGTTTTCTCTGCCCGGCGTGGGGCTGCCCCCCACTTCCTCCCCCCGAGCCCTCCGCGCCCTCGGGGGTCCCCGGGGCGCGTCAGGGCCCGCGGTTCCTCCGTGCGGTGCCGCCGCGGCCCGGCGGCCCTCCCCCGCCCCGCGCTCCCGCCGAAGGAACTGTTGCGTGAGGGAGAATCCAGCGGGGAAGTTGGGCGGCGGCGGGTCGCAGCGCCTCCAGATAGAGCGGCAGCCCCGGTTTATGCCCCGGGCTGAACAGGCTCCGGATTTACCGGCCCTGAGCCTCTAAAGATTGCGAACAAAACGCGTAAATGCCGGGATAATAGCGTGATTGTTCTTCGGGCTTTTCGGTGTTTCCTGGGGTTTGGAAGCTCAATGCCGGGCAGAGCCGCTTGAACGTGTTCGGTGCCGGCTTATTTAGCGTGTCTTTGTGTTCACAACTGCTCGGCAGCCATCGGGGTTGGGGGGTGTGTGTGTGTGTGTGTGTGTGTGGTGTGCCTCTAAATACTCTTCAGCTTCTTGCTCCTGTCTCGTTCAGACGCTAAGCTAGTTATTTTCACTTTCTAAGTGCCCTCAGTTAAAAATAGCCTTAGTTTCAGTTTACGAGGCTTCAGGGAGATTTCTCTGGTGTAAAAGAACTATCGATGTTCTTTGTAACGGCGCAGGCTGAGTGCATTCTGCGTTTCCCCCTTCCCAAAAATATTAAAAAAAAAAATATTCACGTGGTTTTGGAGGTGTGGCGGTCTGTTGTATATACCATAATGACATTAATTTTGGGGGGAGGTGGCTTTCCAAGGGAACATGGCTTTATTGGTCTCAAACACATTCTTTTGTGCTTGTGTGGCAAAGTAATTCCTGCTTTTGAGTGGAAACTCTGACTGCTTGAGATGGAACTTATTTACAGCATTGTAAAAAGTGTATCTTTTTGTACCTCCCAAGCATTTCTGACTGTGGTTGGTATTGGTTTTCATTTGGTTTCCTGGTGGAATTTAAGGTGGCATATTACATTACCAAGTCTAACTCAATAGTTTTCTGTCTGTGGTCCCTGAGCACTCAGTAATCCACAGTAGGTAATTGAGAAAAACAAGGTCATTGCTGGTAGGTTTCCATCTATTATAGAGAGGGTGTATGTGTGCGTAGCACCTACATGCACATAATTCCTTTGAAAAAAAATTTCTGAGGTCCTGACATTAAAAAAAGTTGAGAACTAATGGTCTAACTGCTTTTGACTTTTGTTATGTCTTGACAGCTGTGCTTGGCCAACTCTTAGTTGAGGATTGTTCTATCTTCTATGATCAAACACAGATATCCTTCTGACTGTTTACTTATGGGTTTGTTTGGGTTTTTTTCCCAGCTCCAACTGGAGCAGAAAAGCTCAATGTTAAAATTAGGACTGTAGTGTGTAGACTTTGAAGAAGCACCATAAGACCTTTTTCTTTGCTTTTACATGATTGTGTCTCCGACGGTTGAATTTTTAAAGATTTGATCAGAAGAAATCATCCTCCCAGATTTATTAAGATCTCTTTTTGGACACTGCTCCAATAACATGTGCATGCCTTTAGTGAAAAAGAAAATCTCTCTGGTGACTAGGTTAAGGTCTCATATTTACTGTTTTTTGGTTAACCTAAACATGTTCAGTAGCTTTATAGCCTTGGGAAAATAGGACTTCTTACAGAGGCTTCTCACTGAATTGATGTTAAAAACAGCACTGGTGGTGTCAAGAGTTGCTCAGCTCTTATCGACTTCTGCTTTTACCGAAAGGGGTTAGTACGTGGTGTGCTTGTCTCCTAGACCCATCATGCTTGTATTAAAAATGGCATTTGTGGCCTTAATAGACCTGCTGATTTTGCTGCTAGTCAGGTGTGATTGCTTGAGTGTAGCCTTACCAGAAGATGGGCACATTGTTTGTTGTGCCTTTTTATGTTCATTTTAGTGTCTTATAGGGGTCTTTTCTCTTTCAGACTCCAGCAGTTCTATGTAGGAGCTTTGTTATTGGGACACATATTGAGACCACAGTGGTCAGATAGTGACACTGGTTGTTGGTGATGGCTGATCTAGTAAGCATGGGAAGTTAGGTTTCTTCCTATTTATACTGTTTTTATATTGTTTCAACCATCCAACAGACAGAACAAATTCAAGTCAAGCATTTCATTTTGACTTAGTAATAGTATTGGGAGATTCGAGGCATTGTCCCTGTGCATTTTTTGCCTTTTGTTTTGTTTGGGGTTTTTGTTGGGGTGACTTTTTTTTTTTGTAAATTTATCAAAACAATTATGGATGCCAGTACAAACCAAAGTAGGTTCTATCTGTCTCTGTTGTCTACTGTTCTTTTTCAGCCAGCAAATCAAAGGAGAACCCTCGTAGCAAGTCCATAACTAACAATGCACTTCACAATGTGTTGGTAGGTGTGTATGTATGAATGATACTTCCATAGTGAACCAGTCATTTGAATGGTGCTGTTATGTTACAGTATAAAATATGGGAAATACTGAAGGTGACTGTGTATTGAAGAGAGACGTCTGAGAACTAAATGTGGTTTCCTATGTACTCTGTCTTTTAGCTTCATGTGAACTGGCAATCAAGTGGCAATCTATTTATAGCCTCTTTCAGCTTTCGAAAACAGCTGCTCTAGGAAGGATCTGTGCATCGTACTGTACCTTTCTATGCAGATAGTTTGATCCTGGAATTTATATCCTTGCAAGCCTCTGTCTTATTTTGCAAGATTTCTAAATAATTGCTCTGAAACCTAACCAGTTCTGGACACAGTTCCAGAGGAAAGTCTTAAGGAGAGTGGCCAAATATATGTACCTGAGACGTGTCCTTCAGATGTTATCATGTGGTAAGAATTCCCGCTGTGATGACAGAGGGAAAATGCAGGTCTTATCAGTGTATGTTAGCTACATTTTTGTCAGTATTTATAGGCTAATTAGTCTTAATTTCAGACAATGCTTGTATCTGAAGTCTCCAGAGAAAGCCAAACCTTGGAGAGGCTGTTAGTAACACTCTGATTCAGTTTGGGCATCGTCTTAGCCTGATGCTACTGGGAGGAGTCCTGTTGCTGGATCATGGATGGAAACTGAGTTTCAGAGTACTTTCAGTTGTTAAAAGCATCACAGTGCTTTTACAGGGAAAAATGTCGGTGCTAAACTGTGGTATCCAATTAAAATTCTGCTTTGAAGCTGGCAATTGTAATTATTCAGTCATGATACTTTCCCAAGAATTCCCAAACCTTTGTTATGATCTTGTATCGTTGTGGCAATATTTCAGTGACTAACAACTGTATCAGTTCTGATAGCAGGTAAAGTGTTCAGTGCCATCACAATAAAGGCCTCTGTATGGATGTATAGCATGTAATAATTTGACTAGAGAAATAGCAGCGTGGGTTTCTTGCAAGAAAGAATCAAGTCCATAATTCCTTTGTGGTGGGTTTACTTGCTTTTATGTGAAGGGTCATGCTGCTGAGGATGGCTCTCTTTAGCCAGGAGGAAGACTGAAGACTTTTTTTTTGGGGTGTGTGTGTGTGTGTGTTAACTGGCATAGCAAGGTTATCCAGAGAAAATCTGCTGGTCTGAAATAGTTTGCAGAGAGGAACTGATAACACTTTTTAGCTCAGAGTGATTGTTGGAAATTGTGGTGCTTGATACAATAGAAACAAGTATCAAAGTAAGTTAGTTCTCCTTGATCTCTGATATCCTTATTCACCTCTAACACCTTCTTTCCTTGTGATATAGAATTTTTAAGCTTACCACATTTCTTAGAGACAGTGTTGTGATGTTGTCTCCTAAGCTTCCACCCCCAACCCTTTAAAGATTGTTTCATATCTTACTATGTTTTTCTCATCCTGTTTTAAAAGATTTGGTAAAGGTTTGAAATCTATAAATTAACTGTAAGGAAACCAGTAGTTAGGTTCATTGTGATAAAATTTTGTAAAGTTTTGGTGGCTGTTGCTAAAAACGGAAGTGTCAACTTATTATTATGCAGGTAGGATTAGATTTACCAGGTGTCAGTAGCTCCCCCTCTTTACTGAGATGAACCATAGTAAAAACAAAATTAATTGCAGTTTTGAAGTAAGTTAATTGCCATGTTCATAGGTAGGGTTGAAAAACGAGATAGGCAAGAATAGTTGCTATGTGTATGGACAACTGATTAGTTTTGATATTGGCTGTGTTATGTTCATTACCTTATTAGTTTATAAAATTAGTAGTGGCTCATTGAATGTAGATAGAATTGAGTATTGCTGTTGAACATTTAGTTCTTCCTAAAATACATTGCCCATAATGTGAGTGAAATTAATTCCATAAAATACTGAAAACTTTCATTCACTCTGTTGCTTTTCCTTGGATATACAAACAAAACCCAGCAGAGATGGAAACTTGAATGTTAGGGAGAACAATTAGAAAGAGATGTGTTACTTTCCCCAAGTTTTGCTCCAGCTATATTTCAACATATGGTATCTTAGTCTTCAGAAATAATGCAGAATAAGAAGGGTCAGATGGCTTTAAAATGGTCAGTTTTGTAGTTTGCGCTCTTGCAGGCTTGGAGATAGTCACAGTATTTAATCAGCCTTTCTTCAATTCTTTGAATAATACTTTTGATGTTTTGTTATTTTCAGGTTCACTGTTACATTTCATGTCCTAAACCTCTGGCACTGATTTTCATTTCTAGCATGAATTAAAACCACTCATCGTTATGGCTAAAACCCAGAGTTGGGAGAAGTGTTTCATGTTGTTTTTCCTTCTACAACTCTAGCAAATTAACTGCTACTTGAAAAAAGGACCATATAAATTTACCTGGTTGTCTGATTATGAGGACACAAAAGACTGATTGCTGTTTTAACATAAACAGTGTAGCTTCCATATGTGCAGCATCTTCCACTGCACTCC